TTCCTGCTGGGGTTGTGATTTCTTGCTTTCTTTCTCTCTGTTTCTCTGGCAAGTGCACACATACTATAGCAAAAATCTCTATAAAAAATATTTTTTAAAAAAAAAAGAACAATTAAAACCAGACAGGACCAATGAAATAGGCTAACTCGTCTTCCCGGTGTTGGTCTCCCCTGAAGGGGAGGTGGGATGATATCGTATTGAGGGCTGTGACTTGGCCAGGGAGAGCTGAGCGTTTAGAGCATACTGTAAAACCCGGACGCTGGCGATAGCATTAACTAACTTCCTTCAAGCTATAATCTGAAGGCGGTCACGCCTGCAAATGGGCACTGATTTAGTTTAGGAAGTTTAAATTACGCTGCGTGCTTCACAACAGTGCGCATTCATCTCCCCTTTGAGTTCTCTGCCTGTGGTTCCTTCGTTAGGCCAGGAGAACACAAACGAATAGACTTTGAAAGGAATTGACTTCATTTCTATTCTTCTTTTTTCCTAAGTTCATTTCTTCCATGAGCAAGAGAGAGACAGACAGACAGAGTGCTATCATCCCCAACAGGACACAGATGTTGTAATTGATCCCCAGTCTTCGCCAGCCCTGCGTCGTGGGCATACATGTGCCTAGCGTACCCTGGGAGGTCTCCAGATGCGAACCTGGGACCTTTCCATTGTTCAGCCTTGCAAGCATCTGGCTTTACCTTTGTGCCACCACTGCCTAGCCCCCCTCCCTTGTATTCTTAGTGAATCTAAGCTCTTCACTTAACCGGCTGTGTCTCTTTGGGCAAAACTAAATTCTTTCTATTCTCAGTACCCTTTTCTATAAAACGAGTCATCCGCTGGGTTTGTTGTGATGGTTGAATGAAATACATGTCATAACATGGTATTTAGCACATAGTAGGTACTCAAAACATGTTAGCTTTCATTGGCTCATTTTAGTTTTGGTTTTGCCTTAAATGACAGGAAGAAAATGCCACTTGTCCAAAATGGAGGCCAAGGGGTTAAATTGGAAGAATTTTCTGTAGTGTAGATTATTATCATTAAGTAATGATACATTCTCTTTTAGAGAGAGAGCTTTTAGCTATAGGGCATGTCTGCTCACCAGAAGAACAGAGAAATAGAAAGCAAGAGATCACTCCCCCAGGGGGGATGGCCATGCCACAATCCATTCTCTGCTATTCTTCTCTCAGGATTTTGGGCACGTACGCACGTGCACCCGGCATAAATTTTAAGCTACTGAGTCCAAGACTCGAATCGTGCTCAACTCCATGGGAGTCCAGCAACTTAACCATTACACCATCTTCTGGTCCCAATAATGATACATTCTCTCTTAAATCATGAGAATCGAACCAGGCTGGGATACTTAAATGTAATCCTCCTGGGGCGGGGGGGGGGGGGGGGGGGGGCGGGTTCTGCCTCATTTCCACCTTCTGCATTTATGGTATAGCAATGATTTCAGGCAAAATTATGTGAATAAAACTAATGAACAGTTGAGGTCTTATTATGCCCCTGAAGTAAAGAATAGTTTGTAAAAGGCGCCGACTCCTGGTTTGCCTTTTACTTGAAGTACAACCTCTTGTTCACGTTCCATAGCTGACAGACTTAGATAAAAGAGTGAATTACTTCAAGCTTTCCTCTTTAATTTGATTTGCTGACCTATCAACTTATTTTATGCTACTAAAAATAAATTGATTGTGATTTAATTTCACAAATGTTAATAGATTTGTTTTATTTTTACTCTTCTGTTTGAATAGCAATAATTACCCCTTCCATTTATACAGTTCTTTACCACAAGGAACTCAGATCTCTTTTAGAGGCTCTGTAATTAGTCTGCATGCTCCTCCTGCTGAGTTTTCAGAGAGAGAGGGCATTCTTTTCTTTATCTTTCCAGAGGGAGAAACTGAGGCATTGAATGGCTACGCAGCCATCATCTAGGCTGGCAGTGTAGACGTCTGGTGGAGGCTGAGGGTGGTGCTGTGCTCAGGTTTTGCTGCTCACTAAGAGGGGATGAGACCTAACGGGAGCACTTCAGAACATTCATGGAAAAAAGAATTCAAGTACAAGTTTACGTTACAACTAAAAAAAAAAAAAAAGTGAAATCTATGCATAGTTTTTTCATAATATGTGTGTTCCATGAATATTTGGAAGGGGTTCTCCCACCCAACTCTACCCAGTGTGACAGTCTTCCCAGGGAGTGATTTCATATACCACGGGCTAGAAAACAGATGGTGGGGACAACACTCTGAGGCTGCCCCACCTGGGAAAGTCCTGGGTTGTATCCAGAGACCTCCCTAGGTATGTCTGTTACTTGGGGCTGGCTGAAGCTGGGTAGATTGCAGTATCAATATCCTTTTAGGTGTACCCTTTCTGTCTCTGTCTCTGTCTCTTTCTCAGAGAAATGAATAAATAAACTTAAGGGAAAAAAACAGGGTATGCGCACATGAGCATGCATAGTTACTAGGTATGTGTGTATGGTTTTCTCTTTTTAATTGAATATATACCTCCAATACTGGTGTTTAAAATGGACCCCATGGTTATAGCCCTTTTCCAAGAAGTTTTTAATGATACCATTCAATAGAAGAAATATAAAGGTATTATATTTTTTAAACTTCTATTATAAATTGAAGTGCTAGATAACTGTATTTGCTTCTTTTGTTTGGAAAGAAAAAGGCAGTAATAGGTTGAATTCAGGGAAGAGATCTCATTTAGGAAGACACTGGTTTCCTTCAACCTCATTACAGGGGATACATTGTCTGTACTGGTTTCCCCTTGATATTCGTTGAATGTATTAAGTAAGGAATTGGCAACTGGCTCTAGTTTAGTCCCAGATTTATAAACTAAGGCACATCTTCGTTTGAAAGACTGCAGTATCAGTGTGGGTGGTGCCAGCGCTGGGCCTGCATTTAGATCAGCCATGGTGTCTTGCATATGGTAGGCACTCGTTATCAGTTACGGGATTGAGGCACCTAGAAATGGAGCTCCCTGCACCTACTGCCGATGAGATGCCAGCTGTCTAATCGTGTTCACAGTCATTTTCAGTTCTTACGGCTTAGAAGTGCATTGCACTTAATATCTGGGGTACGAGTCTAAGTTCTTGTTAACAGTGAAAAGGTTTGCATGCCACCATGAGGTACAGGCAGTCCCCGACTCGCGATGGTTCTACTTGCAATTTTTCAACTTTGTGGTGGTGGGACAGTGAGATGCTGTCCGTAGAAACCCTACCTGGAGACCCCACACATACCATTTCTCCCTTAGAGTACAGTGTTCACTACATCACGTGGGATATTCAACGCTGTATTGTAAACTAGGCTTTGTGTTTGCCTCTGCCAACTGAAGGCTAGTGTAAGTGCTTTGAGCACGTTCCAGGTGGCTAGGCCAAGCGATGATGTAGGTTAGGTGTGTAAATGCATTTTGGACTTAGAGTATTTTCACCTTAGATGGTTTATCGGGACATACCCCTGCCGTAAGTCAATGAGCATCTATGTGTTTCCTTAAGGTGTGACCCAGAACGAATTACAGGATTTTCATGTGTTTAAAACAGGAAGCCAGCGATGGTGTTGGGCTCCCACAGGGCCGACCACCTTTCTAGTTCTGGACCAGCAGCTTGAAACTCACACTGGGCACATGTGTGTGCGTGCCCCAAACCCCAGGGGAATGGAGAAGGGAATGTGGTGTGGCCATCCTCCCAGGGGGTGAGCTCTCACTTTCCCCCTCACTCCTTCTCTGTTTCTCTGGCAAGTACACGTGCCCCATGGGGGAAAAAAAATTCAGTTTTACATTGAATGTTGGCGAAACATGGGAAACAAACTGTTCAAGTGCCCGTCATCACTGGTGGCTCTACTTCATTTGCATTTAGCTGTCACTGGCTGCACTGATGGTTTCCGTCTTCGGCATCACCCGCGCTGGCTCACTGCCTCAGCGTACATGTCACGGAGGCCAGGGGGAACGTCGAAGAGTAAACAGACCTTTTCAGTCTTATATTCTAGGAAACAAACGTCACAGCTCTCTTTTAAGTAACCTGCTTACGAGGTTTTTGTGTTCTGCCTTACCATCCAGGCAGCCGTTTTCTAGTCAGTTCCCTCCATGTAACTCTCAGGATAAAGCCGGTCTCAGGTAGGCCTGTTCTCAATTTCGGACTGCTGCCGTGGGCCAGTCGCAGTTTTAGCAGTCCCATTTAAGTAACTACAGCCAGGATTTCCAGAGAGTCGCCTCTCTCTCCCTTGGTCTCTTGTCTCCAGGTGTTTGAAACATCTCACCAGACACCTTCTGTGCTGCAGAGAGCACCTGAACTGGCCTTAGGTTTTTAAATGAGAAAACAGTTGGTGCATAGCAGAGAAAAGCAGCAGGAGCTTGGGGAGATGGGGTCAGAGGCAGGGAGTCGTGCTGAAGCCAGAGTAGAAGCTGGCATGGACCCCCATATGGCTATCCATGGTTTGAGTTCCAAACCTGGCAGCTTGCTCTCTCACTTTCCTTCTCTCTGTCTCTCTCTGGTAAGCTCACATGAGAGCCCCAAGGTTGGGAGGGGGCAGATGCCAGTTCTGTTTTGAGCACACTTTTCATGATAGTGCTCTGGTCATCGTGTTAACTGAGTCCTCTCCAAGCTATAGCTTAAGGTGGGAGGGGTCAGATGCCAGTTCTAACTGTTTTGAGCACACTTTTCATGATAGTGCTCTGGTCATCGTGTTAACTGAGTCCTCTCCAAGCTATAGCTTAAGGATGGAAGCACTCGTGAGTGGACCATTATTGGGTTGAGGACGTTTAGGTGATGTGGCTGGTGTGCCATGGATTCCTGCGATTTCTCTGCTTCTGTTTCCTTGCATCAGGTTAGGTCAGCGTAACTGGGTGTGCTTTTAAACTGGTAATTTAGAAAAGTCTCTATTATATACATGCTTACAGAATATGACACCGCTCCAGACCCTTTCAGAAATGCAAGTGTTTTTGAGAGAAGAGTCAGTCTAAGCAGAGGTTAAGACTGATAAGACAGGAAGTGCCTCTGCTCACAGAGGTGGCAGGAAGTGCCTCTGCTCACAGAGGTGGCAGGAAGTGCCTCTGTTCAGAGGTGGCAGGAAGTGACTCTGCTCACAACAGACATTTTTTTCCTCACTGTTCTGGAGGCTGGCATGTCCAAGATCCAGGGGCCAGCCAGTTGACCTTCTGGTTCGTAAACAGCCATCTTCCCCCTGCGTGCTCTCACGGTGGAGCGATCGAGCTAGCTCTCTTGTGTCTCCTAAGGGCACTAATCCACTCAGGAGGGCCCCACCCTCACAGCCAAATCACCTCCCAGAGGCCTCAAATCCTCGTCTCATCACTAAGAGGAGGTAGGATTTCCACATGGGAAATTTGAGGAGACAGAAAACCTCCACCTGCAGCAGGTCTGAAGTAAAATGCTTGTGATGCCTCAGGAGAAAGATGTCATACAAAGAAAGGGCTTATTAGTTCAAAACGGAAGGACAGAATCACCGTTCTTCCACTTGTGTCCACAGGCGACTGGACTTTGTTATCTTCATTCTCATGAGGCGTGTGAGGGAGGTCGAGGTTGGTCATAGGAGCTGCTCAGCTTCATACTTTTGCAGCTTTCTCTAGTGAGTTCTTTGGTTCTTTTGCCTTCTGGCATTCTCTAGTGCTATCTGCCATTTCCTCCCTTCTCCTAAGCTGTCCTCTCAGGATGGGGCAGAGCTGCACGCTCCCCACTCCCTTAGGGCTGTAGCTGAAGTCCTGGCGGGTAGTCTTCATCTCGTTACTTGTCTTCGGTTAGAAGGTATGAGAGGTGTCTAGAGAAGTCTGTCTGCTAATGGCCAAACTCTTACCCGCATTCGCAGGTTCACTACAATGTGGGCAAGAACCTGGCTGACAAGGGCAATCAGACCGCTGCCATCCGCTACTACCGGGAAGCCGTCAGGTATGACACGTCCCTGTCCTATTATTGATGGATACGGTGTCTTGTCTTCCTTTCTCCCTGCCTGTCTTCCTTTTTCACTTTTTTTCTTTATTTATGGTATAAATAAGTCACACCACTGTCCTCTCCCTCTGTCCTTCAGCCGGTATGATCTTGGGCACTTGAGCAAATGCCCAGGAGACTGGGTCGTGAACTGCAGTTGGAGGTGGGACCTCGCTTCTCTCGAGTGCTGTGTTAACACTGCACCATGGCGCCAGTCCCTGCATGTATTATTTTCACTTTCTAGGATTAAAAGCCTATGTAAAGACCCTGACTTTAAGATATCTTAGCCACAGGCCAGCAGATGGCCTAGCGGTTATGTTTCTGGACTTCCTCATGGCCGACCACAGTTCAAGCCCCAGACCCTGTGGCTTGAAATTTACTCCGAGTGTGTGTGCATGTGTGCTCAGGGTCCTGGGAGGAGAATGAAGGAGAAGCAATTGCAGTGTAGCCATCCCACCTGGGGGGGAGAGGGAGCAATATCTCACTTTCCCTCTCTCTGTCTCTGTCTCTCTCTCTCTCTCTGGTGAACACACGCACCCTAAGGCAAAAATACTTTTTACAAAAAGAATGAAAAAAGATATCTTAGCCAATGCCTGAGTTTAGTGAAAAGTACAGAGTACTAGCAGTCGGCTCAATTTCTCTCTCAACTTCCAGATTAAATCCCAAGTATGTTCACGCCATGAATAATCTTGGAAATATCTTAAAAGAAAGGAATGAGCTACAGGAAGCTGAGGAGCTGCTGTCTTTGGCTGTCCGGATCCAGTAAGCACTGCCCTTATAATTCTGCTGCTGACAGTCTCAGCCTTTCTCCTGCTTGTTGATGTTTTGAAAAATGCTCTTCCAGGCCAGACTTTGCGGCTGCGTGGATGAATCTGGGCATAGTGCAGAACAGCCTGAAACGGTTCGACGCTGCGGAGCAAAGTTACCGGACAGCAATTAAACACAGAAGGAAGTACCCAGATTGTTACTACAATCTCGGGCGCCTGGTAAGCTTGGGGTGCCTTATGCCTGCGGGAGGAAAGATGGGCTCTTTTTCTTTTTCTTTTTTTTTTTTTTTTGAAAGAATTATCTAACTTTATTTATTATTTTTACTTTCCAGTTTGATCAGAGTGAGACAGACAGAGAGAAAGAGAGGGGGAAAGTCAGAAAGTAAGCCACCGGGTCTGGGACTTGAGCAGCCACCGGCCATGTGGGAGTCCAGTGCCTTTAACCAGCACGCCACCTGCCAGCCCCACGATTGGTTCTTTTTCATTATTTGTAATCAAATGAGAGCAGGAGCATCCCCTCGCATTCTATATTGTATAACGTTGTTTCATGTATGTTTATCTCCTTTAAGGTAGCTATTTGATTTTCTTACATGTAACTGTTGAAAGCTCGTATTGGAGAGCGATCCAACTTGATTTGATCGAGTTGATGAGAGCAGCAAGGCCATAGGTTAAACTATGGAATATATTAAAATGTTTTCAATCCCTTCTTCCCTTTAGAACAATGCTCCAAGGAATAACTTCCTGATAAATATTCTCTGTTTTAAAAAGAAAAAATGGAATAAAAACTGAGATTAAAAAAAAAACAAAACCCGTAGTGTGATTTCTGGGCTTCCTTATTCTCCTTCCTCAAGGGAGCCGTTCTTATCTGCAGGGAGCTCTCTCCTCCAAGCGAGACGGCTGCAGAGGGCATGCAATTTATTTGAAAAGACTTAGACATTATTTAGTGGAATAAAAAATAATGTGTCCCATCATAACTTTACAGCCTGGGTTCTTGACAGTATTTATGAAGATCAGACTGTTCTTGATATCCTTGATGAAAAAAGAAAGGAAGAAAAAGAAGAGAGAGAAGGCATACAGAAAGGAGCAAAATTCTTTAAGGAATGATTATATTCTCTCCCCGTAATCAACCCTTGAATTTGGTTTTAACAAACCAAATACATGTGTTGCTAATGCAAAGGTCATGAAAAATGCATATTAAAAAACTATGCTTAGATTTCCAAATTTGGGGCACCAAAATAAGCTCATACTTTAATTCCATTTCACCATAAACTGTTTTGAAGTCCCCTCATAAATTTATTGGATAAAATTGTTACAAGTAAACCTGTGTTTTGTCCCACCTGGATGGCCTGCACAGTGGTGTTACTTGTAGAGGTTCAGGTGTAGATTTCTAGCTCTTACCCAGCACAGCCTCACATGGAGGACCGTTTCTCATGTTCCAAGGAGTGCCCACTATCCTCAGTGCTAAAGGCTGGACCATCCTGGTTTTATGGAGCCCTCATATTGGCAAAGCCATCTGTTTCCCCAATTGGTACGCACCCCATCCCACCCCATCTCCAATTAGGGAATCAAAAACTCCATGAAGAACCTGTATTGGAAAATACTAATAAGTGCCCCAAAATGATTCCAGAGCCCTCCCTGTTGGTGGTCCCATGTCTGAGAAGCAGCTCTGTCTGAAGTTTGACCCAGAGGATGGAGTATGTCAGAGCAGAAGGGGCTGTTGGGAGAAAGCAACCTAGAAAACTAACAGCTGTAGATGTATCGCAATACTAGACTTTGCTGTTTGCCCTGACATAAATGTCATTGGTCCTAAAGTCTTCATTTTTAGACTAAGTAGCCATGATTCTGTGGGCTGTAGAGATGAAATTGTATGAAAAGAGGAACAAGATGGCAGGAGCTTGTGGCTAACAAACGGTGAACTCTGGCCTCTTCCACACTGCAGAAGTCCCGTTAATTGGCCAAATAAAACTCACGTTAGAAATTTAAAAATAAAGTGGCCAAAGCGTTTTGTGTTTTGTTTTATTTTTGAGAGAAATTTTTGCTATAGGGTGTGTGCGCTGTCCAGAGAGACAGAAAGTGAAAGTCATCCCCCAGTGGGGATAGCCATGCCACAATCCCTTCTCCCCTCAGGATTTTGGGCACACACCCCAGCATGAGTTTCATGCTGCAGGGTCTAGGACTCAAACCACAGTCAACCACATGGGGAGTTCAGCACCTTAACCAGTATGCCACTTGTTGGGCTCCCAAAGTGTTTTTATTATACAAAAGTACAAGACATATTTTAGTTGTGCTGTGTCATAGGAAGATATCATCTCCGTATGCCTACTCCACTGTGGAAAGGAATTCATTTTTCTGGGCTGGAGGGAAGAGTGGCAGTCACATGACTTGAGTCCAGTACTTTTGGACAGCGAAGACTAATAGGAAGATATTCCTGTTATCCCACATCAGCTTTTCCAGAACCACTTGACCTTGTGTGCATTTCTGTTGTCTTTTACATTTCAACATTCTCTGCATTTTGATCTAGTTACAAATTTTCACGTTGAAACAGTTTTCTCTATGAAACCTGAAGGTAGAGAGCTGCAGCTATTCAAGAGATGAGTTGTAGGGGAGGGGGGCGGTCATTAAAATCTCACTCTAATGACATAGGTAGAGATAAAAAAACTCATCACATACAAAATAGAGTCTTTCTCACCAAGTGAATGGAGTGGTATAGGGACCAGGTTGGGATGTGGGAGCATAGGGCACATTGTCTCATGACGTGCAGATGAGTGCTTCCATGTACATGGTATGCAGGGTTACTGTCTCTATTTACTGTGTCTATTAAATAGCATTTGAGTGACACAGGCATGTGAATTCTTCTTCCTTTCCTTTTTTTTTTTTTTCTTTTCTAGAGATATCTCTTCTTTTAGGTTTTTGCTTGCAGAGTGTGCCTGCCATCAGCCCCTAGGTTATGCTTTAAAGATCTACAGTTAGCAGCCTTCTCTTGCCTAATGACTCCCCGTCACTGCAACTCCTCGGGATTTGGAAAATAGAGAATTTATGCCGATTGAGCCTTCTCTAAGAGTTACAGCTGAGGGAATAAGCAAAGAATATAAAATACCGACCTAAGTCACATGCCCCAATGCTGGGATTCATCACACGTTCCCTTCGAAGGTCTTCTGCAGTGTGGAGCAGATTGAGACCTACACTGCTCTTTGTTCATATTGTTTACCAGTTATGCTACCGTGAAATGGTCTTCCCGTGTCCCCTTCTGTCAACTGTTCCTGCTTATTTTAGGCTTTTGCTCTTCATTGTGGTTTAATTACCCAGCTTTTGCTTGCCTGACAGCTTAAAAGCATTAAGAGCTTAATCTTTAGCAGCTCAACCAACCCATTTATACATTGGCAAATAAGAGGAACTTAATAACTTGAAAGTTTCTTTTTATGAATGACTAGTAACAGGAGATAGAAATTTGTTTTGGTTTCTAGAACTCAGGAAACAAGGAATGCGAAGCAGTTCTCTTGTAAAACTGAAAACTAGGAAGAGTTGGGTTATGTGGGACACATTACTGACCGTGGAAAGTCGTTGGACCAGTAGCTGGAAGTCTCACTGAAGACAGTTCCTTAAACAAGCCCCGATTGTATGTATCAGTCAAGATGTGTTCAGGAAAACAGAAGCCATGTTCAATATGAGAACTCATAAAAGGTTCATAGAAAACGTATATTATGGGTCTGGCAAGTGACGTGGTGGTTAAGGGCGCTGGACTCCCACTTGGCCAACCGCAGTTCATGTCCCGGACCTGGTGGCTTGCTTTCTCACTTTCTCTCTCTCTCTCTCTGGTCAAATTAAAATAAATAAATAAATAAAGTTAAATTTAAAAATTCTTAAAAAAAAAATAAGAAAAGGAAAGAAAATGCATACTATAAGGAAACCATGTGTGGATTTCAAAATTGTTGCACCAAAATAAACTCATAGTATCATTCCATTTCCCATGAGCTATATGAAGTCCGCTTATGTTTTGTTATTTTTAAATTATTTTTATTTCCATTTAATAACTGCACATCTTTGAAGTGTACCACATGGTTTTTCCCAGCATGAATAGGGTGCATATTAGTCAAATCAAAGACATTGTCATATACATTATCATCAACAGATAACTCTTTGTTATTGTGTCTATTAAATGTGTTGCTTTTGACCCTGATTCCCTCCCTTCCAGCCTTTATTACCCACCCTCTTCTGTACTGTCTCTAGTACCTACAGTTGGCCTCCCTGCTATTTTACCTTCCAATCTTTCCGTTTCTGCTATAGAGTGCAGACAGTATATATTAAGCCAGGACATATAATGCCTGTTTTCCATGGTCTGGGTTGCTTTGCTTAGCATTAAATCCCCCATATTTGTCCACTTTATATCAAAAATAAAGAGGTCTTATTGTTTCTGATGGCTGAGTAGTATTCATAGAGTACACGCCCAGCATTTTTTCAATCCACTTGTCCATTCTTGGGCATTTGGGTTGATTCCATGACTAGCAATTGTAAATAATGCTGTAATTAACAGGCATGTGCAAGTGTTTTTCTGACTGTTTTCATATCCTTTGGGAAGATAAAGAGTGGAATTACTAGGCCGTATGGTAGTTCTATTTGTAGGTTTCTGAAGAATCTCCACATTGTTCTCCACAGTGGTTGTATTTGTTTACATTCCCACCAACAGCGTAGGAGGGTTCCCTTTTTACCATAGCCTTGCCAACACTTACCATTTTCTTAAACTTAGCCATTCTGACTGGGGTTAAGTGGTATCTCATTAAGGTTTTGATTTGCATTTTCCTTATGATAAGAGATGTTGAGCATTTTTTTCATTTGCTCTTTGGCTGTTCAAATGTCTTCCTTGAGAGTTGTCTGTTGAACTCATTTGCCCATCTTTGAATCAGGTTTATTATTATTATTATTATTGGGGGGGAGGCGGTAAGCTGCTTGAGTTCCCTGTATATTCTGGTTATCAGTCTCTTATCTAATAAGTTTGCAATATATTGTCCCATTCTGAGGGTCATCTCCTCACTCTAGATCTTGTTTCTTTTGCTGTGCAGAAGCTTTTTGGCCTGATGTAGCCCCACTTGACTATTTCTGGGATTATTGCCTGTGCTTTGGGATCTTATTGTGAAACTCTTTGCCTATTCCAATGTTGCTAAGAGTTTCTGCTGTGTTTTCCACCAGTAGTTTTCTAGTTTCAGTTTTTATGTTTAGATCTTTGATCCATTTCAAGTTAGTTTTTGTCCATGATGAGAGATACGAGTCCAGTTTAATTTTTCTGCAGGTGGATATCTAGTTTTTACAGCACCGTTTATTGAAAATACTTTCTTTTCTCCACTGGGTTGTCTTGTGCCCTTTGTTGAAAATTAATTGCCTGCATGTTTGGGGGGTTATTTCTGGGTTCTCAATTCTCAATTTGCTCTACCTGTCCATTTTTGTAGTAATACCATGCTGTTTTGATGATCAGTCTTGAATATATTTTGAGGCACTCTAATTTTAAATAGAGGAGATTTAATACAGGGAGTAGTTTAGATTGTGCTGGAAGACTGGAAGAGCAAAAATGGAAGTATTAATGCAGAGAATAATAACTAAGGAAACACCCTGGGTTTGGGGAAAGCACTGAGAGGAAATTATGCTACCAGAACATCTCAGGTGCTGCCAGGGCTTCAAGCGTTGCCTTCCTGGTGAAGGAATAGGAAGGAGTGCTCAAGGATGGGGGACTGGGGGACATAGCTGACATGGCCACTTCAAAGCCATTCTGAGGGAAAAAGGCAGAGAATAAGAGGGTGTGGGGAGGGTCTGCTCCCCTCTTGGCCCTCCAATGGCCATCTGTTGTGCCTATTGGCAGAGGCTTCATAAGGAGCCAAGGAACACAGGAAGCTGAGAAAGGTAGTTTGCAGTCTCCTAGTCCTGGCAAAAAAAATGTAAACTTTAAAAAAAAAAATCCAAGATGGGGTTGGGAATAGAAGGGTAGATTCAGGACATGCATTTTTTAGTCTACTTTCCGGGTGGGTAGTCTTATTAAATCACTATTTTTCTTGTTTATTTGGATGCTCTTTGAAGGGTTGACGGGGGCCAGCAGAGAGTGTGGAGGTCAAAACAGCCAACTCCACATCTGAGGTCCTGGACTTGGCAGCTTGAAAGTCACACTGGAGTGTGCATGTGTGCCCGAAGTTCCAAGAGGAGAAGTGTTGAAGTGTGGCCATCCCCACTGAGGGGTGATGTCTCACATACTCTCCCTCTCTCTCCATCTCCCTCTCTTCCCCACCCTCATTCCCCAGTGAGTGCACATACCCTCTAGCAAACTAGAAGCAAAAGAAAAAGGGTAGACTTCAGCACACTTCAGCCCCAGTAACACACTGCTCAAGAATAGCTGGGTCCACGTGGAAGGTCGTGGGTTAGTTTCCTTGGTCTCTGGACATGTACACCTGTGATCCTGGCTGTCTGACAAGACTTGGAGAGGGATTGTAGCACCTATTGAAGACCCTATTGAAGGTGCTTCTTTCTCATTCTCTCTCTCTCTCTCATGGAAAAAATATGTAAACTTAAAAAGAATCCAAGATGAAGGCTGGCAGGTAGCATGGTGGTTAAGGATGTTAGATTCCCATATGACCGACTGTGGTTTGAGTCCTGGACCTGGTGGTTTCCTTTCGCACTTTCCTCTCTCACTCTGTGTCTCTCTGGTCAAATTTTAAAATAAATCAACAAATAAAAGTTAAATAAAATAATTCTTTAAAACAAAAATCCAAGATGCTTCTTTAGAAAAGGGAGGGGCAGGGGCCAGCAGGTGACATGGTGATTAAGGCAGTGGACTCCCACATGGCCAGCCAAAGTTTGAGTCCTGGAAGTGGCAGCTTGAATATCATGCCAAGTGCCTGTGTGTGTGTGTGTGTGTGTGTGTGCCTGAAATCCCAGGAAGGGAAAGTTGGAGAAAGGACTGCTACATGGCCATCCCCCAAGGAGGTGATTTCTCACTGTTCCTCTCACTGCCTTTCTGTCTCTTTCCGGGAGCGCACTTACCCTATGGCAAAAAGAGCTATAAAAAGAAAGAAAGCAACAATAATTCTCTCCTTCCTAAATGAGGCAAATGGTTTCCAAACCGCCAAGAGGTTTTACGTGACATAGACATGTCCAAGGAGCTTACAAAGTGTCTGATTACTTGTATTTCCGTGTGAGGTTTAGGTGTAGGGAGGAAGCGGCTCCTGGACAGCCTCTGCAGCTTCGAATCACAGAAAGTACTTGGTTTCCTGTTCTAAATAATACTTAATCCAAGACGGGCTGTATGGTCTCTTCTGGCAGCTGGAAATGTGATTTACTACCCGGAATCACTTGATAATAATAATAAGAAGAAAAACAGGCTTGGGAGCCAGATGGCCTGATCCGAATCTTGCTCTATCATTTCTATATTTATAACTTTGGGCCAGTTGCTTAATTTTCCCTGTGCCTAGTTGCTTCATGTATAAAATAGGGATAGTAATATCTACCTGACTGTAATTCTTTTGAAATATATGAATGAACATTTTTTTAAAAAATAAACGCTTTATTAATACAAGTTATATATATATATTTAATTTAGTAGTGTCTTAGAGGGAAAACAGAAAAGCTGGAATGCGGAGTTTTATTATTACTATTATTATTTTTTGTTCTGTGCCTGACTTTCAGTATGCGGATCTGAACCGTCACGTGGAGGCCCTGAGTGCGTGGAGAAACGCCACCGTGCTGAAGCCGGAACACAGTTTGGCTTGGAACAACATGATCATCCTTCTTGATAATACAGGTACAGATGTGGCCAGACAGACTGGAGGGAATCGTTTCACAGGGCAGAACTGCTGAATACTCAGAAAATGTAGATCAGTGTGCTGTTTCCCCCCAAGTTTGAAAAATATATACCTAGCATTAAATATTTTGTGTTGCAAATGTGTATTCTTCTAGAAAAATGGCTTTTCCTTTGCTATGTTGGAAGACGAATGTTTGGGAGAAAGACCTTCCCCTTCGAACTGGTGTTGAGTAAGGGGGAAGGTGCTGGGTGAGGTCTCATTTTCTCCGAAGCCTGTTGTCCTGTTACATACCTTCCGGGAGGCTGGGACACCTGAGTGAGCAAAAATGGCCTCTGGGTTCACAGACTGGTTGGGACCACATCTACTCCAGAGCTCACTGACCATACTGGAAGGAAACACTTTCACGTCTACACTCGGAGCCACAGAATCTCACAGTAGACGTAACATTAAAGGACTCGATGATCTGGTTTCTCATCCCAGAACAGAATGAACTAGATTGGTTAAGATTTAATCTGTGCCCCTGGTTCTTAAAGCCCAAGCAGCCCTTGAGAAATGATGGTGTTCATTTGGAGTCTTGTTTTTTTTATTAATTTTTAAAATTTGCTAGGGGGCATGTGCACTCATCAGAGAAAGATGAGAGAGAGAGAAAGAGAGAGAAAGAGAGAGTGTGTACCCCCACGGGGAATGGCCACACCATAGTCCCTTCTCCATCTCTTCCTCTTTTTGGTATTTTGAACATTCACATACACACACACCCAGCATGGTTTTTAAGCCACAAGTCCAAGACTAGAACCACACAGTCAGCCATGTGGGATCCAGTTGTCAAAACCACCACACTACTGGCTGTTCCTGCTAGTGAGTCTTCTCACTGGTGTGGAGCAGAGATACACACTTGTTTCCAAAGAAAATGCAAAACAGATACTTCACCACGATAAATTCTATTATTACAGTGTTACTGCGGGACCAGCAGGTTGCGTGGTGGTTAAGGTGCTGGATTTCCATATGGCTGACCATAGTTTGAGTCCCGGACCTGGCGGCTTGGTTTCTCTCTCTCTCTCTGGTTAAATTGAACAATTAATTAATTAATTTTTAAAAAGTGTTACTGTGATACTCATTTTGAAGACTTGTTTCTCTGATTAGGATATAAATGGAATGTGGGAAAATTTAAACTAGGTTTTCAGTGTTTATATATCACATCGACATCATTCTGAATTGCAGCGACTTTGCCACTGATAAATATGTGTGTGTGTCTGTAACCTGTTCCACACAGCACCCTTGATCAGTCTATTTGTGATCATTGTGTACTATGCAGGGAATCCCTGTTTATCGTAGAGAGACCAAAGCATGAACTCAACATTGACGCGGTTCACGTTTTCCATTTCTGACTCCCAGGTAATCTAGCCCAAGCCGAAGCTGCGGGAAGAGAGGCGCTGCAGTTAATCCCTAACGACCACTCGCTCATGTTCTCGCTGGCGAATGTGCTGGGGAAAGCCCAGAAGTACAAGGTCTGTGAACTGCAAGCCCTGATTTCTTGCAATTAATGCCAGCACCTCACAGAGCTGTCAACTTTACTTCTGCCAGTTAAATTCCTGATTAGGCCCAGACAGCGGCCGCGGTGCCCCGGTGTAGTCAGGCAGTTTGTTTCCTGGAGAAGTTGCCTAAAGGGTAGGTGTGGGACCCTACCCAGCGTCCTTTCCCTCAGGACTCACTGCCATTGTTCACACTTGGGCGAGAGAGGTCAGGGAAAGCCAGGATTAGGCAGGGAGCTGCGGGGCAGTGGCCTCACCTGCTGCAGGGTTTGGGCAGCAGTGGAGCACCCCCAGACATGTTGCCCTCCTTGGGCAACCAGGCTTTGATGCTCCCCTTTGCAGTTGGACTGGAGCCCCAGCTTCTATTTGTGGGTTCCAGCTTCTGCACACAAAGAACAGCTGGCCATGGCGGACATGGCTGGTTCTTGCAGCTTCCAGGTGTTCTGCATCTGCGTTCTAGTCATCACCAAGGCCCGAGAGGTATCAGCCGTGGAAACCGCCAGGTGCTGTCTGTGCCGCGGCCACCTCCGGCTGGGTCAGTGGCAGGCTGTGCGGCCCTCCCTGTGTGTGGAAGGGGGTCTGAGGTTCCTGACGCCAGTGCGTTCCAACTCGAATTTCGTAAGTCAGAATCACCGGGGGCTTGTTCAAAGTAGATGCCCTGGCTTGCCCAGACGCGGTTAAGTGCCTCCGTACGAAGCTGGATACCACATGGCTGGCCACGATTTATAACCCTGGCCCCAGTGCCTTGAAAAATACGCCAGGCATACATGCAGCTGTATACAAAACCCTTACGGCATAGAGAAAGGGAGAAAGGGGGACTGGGGAGTGGCCAGGTCCCATTGGAGAGGGTACTTTCTGTCTCTTTTGCTTTCAGTCTCCTGTCTGTCTGTCTGTCTGTCTCTCTGGCAAGTGCAAGCACTTTCTAGCAATAAAGAAATTACATTTTTTAAGTGGGGGGGGGAACATGTAGATGCCTAGATCTTTTTATCCACCAAAGATTATCTTGGTGGGTTGCCTAAGCCCAGAATATATGTTGGGTCTTCAAAAAAATTGATGGAAGAGCGAGCTGGTGTTGTAGTGACTCAGATGGCTGGATCCCATGTGACTGACTAGGCAGTTCGAGTCCCAGACCAGCAGCATGGAAAAAAATGCACTGGGCATATATAAATACATGTCCAAAATCCCAAAAAGAGAATGAAAGAGAGGAGAGTGTGGTGTGGCCATCACCCTGGGGGTGCTTACTCACTTTCCCTCTCCTTCTTTCTCCAGTGAGTGCACACACCCTATACCAAATTTAAAAAACAAAAACAAAACACACACACACACAAAAAACTTCATGAAAAATGCGTATTATAAAAATCTACGCATGAATTATCTCATTGTTTTGCACCAAAATAAACTGAAACTTTAACTTCATTTTTCCATGAATTTTCTGAAGTCCCCTCACATGCTTTTTCAGTGGTCCCATGTCTAACAGTTGTCACAGAAAGCTCTCTTTTAGAAGCAGTGCCTTAGAGAAGCATTTGACTTCAGAATCCAGGGCTGTATCTTACTTGGGTCACTGCGAGGTTATGGATAAGACACGGTATAGTTTCCGCACCAGCACGTAACCACACCCCATGCATTTCTCTCATTTTTGTACATCAAGGAGTTTAAGAGCTTCGGTGTCCACTTCCTGTTTATTTATTCCATGAGTGAGAGAGACAGAGACTGAGAAACAGAGGCAGCATCCCCAACAAGGTCTCAACACTGATCCTGCCCTAGCCTCAGCCGCCCCAGACCCCAGTACGCGCATGCCCAGTGTACTCAGGGAGGGCTTTGGACACACACCAGGACCTTCCACATTGTCCAGCCCCCAGTGCCAGATGTACCCCTGCACCACCAGTCCCACTCTCCTGTATGCTTTCAACATGTCTAGACTGTTCTCCAGGGATGGCTTTGTGAGAGCTTCAGTTTGATTTGTAATAGATCTACGTGTGTCAGGCGGAAAGCAGGTGAGGTTTATGGTTTTGCTTCTGATGACCTTTCTAGCCATTGGTCAGCCTGAGATGGGGCAGCACCTCGCTCTCCCCCAGTGACCTGGCTCTGGCTAGTCCCCTTCAGGACACAGCGTGTATAATCATTGTATTGACTTTTCTGTCATCCCACCATCAACCGGAATTTCTGCTAAGGGCACGGAACCCGGAGGTCACTTGGCTTCCAATTCACGTTCCTTTCTTCCCCTAATAAAGTAGAAATTATTCCATTAAGCAGAATGGAGAAATCATTTTCCCGTTTCGCTGTAGATTCTACATCCCAGTTGTTGAGGCCAGGCCTCTGAGCCGACAGCGAGGACACAGAAGATGACGTCTGAAGGAAAGAACTCAGTGCGAGCACTTCAGGAGCTGCCGACAGAGAACACGGCGTGACCCAGGCCGTAGCATCTGTACAGAGAGGGCTTTAGTGGTCTTTTTCCCCCAGCAGGACCCAGGCCTTATTAAGTGCCAGACAATCAGCATGATATGGCCAAATGCATTTCTCTTTTTTTTCTTTTTAGAGAATGTTGCCACAGGGCATGTGCACTTACCAGAGAGAGAGACAGAGACAGTGAGAGGAAAAGTGAATAATCACCCCCTGGGGAGGTGGCCACACCACAATCCCTTCTCTATCCCCCGTCCCGGGATCTTGGGCATATGTGCTCGAGCATGCATTCAGCATGATTTTCAAGCCAGGTCTGGGACTCGAACTGCTGTCAGCCATGTAGGAGTACAGTGATGTAACCACTACACTATCTGCTGGCCCCCAGCATGTCTCATTTAACTCCGAAATGTTCAGGCTTCTGGAAGGTGCCTTAAGCGTTTTTTGTGGGTTGTCTTTTGTTTTTGTTTTTTAATTTGTTTGTTTCTTCCCTGAACCAGGGAGACAGAGATGGGTACCGCCAACAGGGGCCCTGTGCTGTGCTCTGTCCCCAGTCCCAGCCCACCCAGATCCTGGGCAGGCACCTGTTGGACCTCCCCCTGGGAGTCGGCCCTGCAGAGCTCCCTGTTACTGCCACACCACCGTCCAGCCCTGGGTTTGAGACCTGATGTACCACGTGAGGGCTCTCAGTATACCTTTTCATCCTGGCCAAGCCTCCCTTTTCCCTATGCTCATTTCCTGCTCACGGCCTCATCTGTTCATCTGTAAAATAGAGAGTGATCTACTGCATTTTTTAATAGGGTGATATGAAAAAGAAAAGGCACGAGAGAGTAATTTGTGACTGCTAACTGGCAGATACATTGGTATGATAATAACTTCAGTGGTTACGAAACAGATCTCTAAGGACCACCGAAACCTATTAGACTCTTCCTTCTTGCCACGCGACCGCCAGTCTGGGCCTAATGTGGGAGGCAAACCTGCAGAGGTAGGGACTGGACAGCGATGCTGTGCAGTGTGACCCTGAGAGGCTGACCCGGGAGTGTGGGGCAGAGGGCTCTTGGGTCCTGTCTGGAGACCTCCCCGAATGCACCAGGCACACGCATGTCCACGGTTCAGGGCTGGCTAAGACTGGAATCGCGGCATCAAGACCCCCTGGTGGGGAGGAGCTATCTTTCTCTCTCTCTCTCAGAAAAAAGTAAATATACTTTTTTAAAAGCTAAGTAATGTTTTCCAGGGTTCAAAGTGTTCCCTCTCATCTCATCTCTCTTTCTGAGCAGCAGCTCCACTGCCCCGTAGCTTAGGAGCTGGTTGCACCGATCGAGCAACTTTTCAAGCCCCAGGCGTTCATGCTGCATGCACCTTTACGAGTTTTCTCACATCAACATGCTGCCTGACTTACTAGTTACCTGACTCTTCTCCTTAAATAGACATTCAATGCAGATGGGTATGTGAGAAGCAGAAGCCTCATGTCATTACCATAATATAAGGAAAACAAATTTATTTTCGCAAACTCCAGCGAGGTGGTGTCGCTGACCACGGCACTGAGCCCAAGGTCACTTCTCGGCTTCCTAGGGAGCTCGGAGGCACTGGGGGCTCAGAGTGCTGGCGTCTGCCTGGCTGAGTCAGAGGGAAGGAAGGACTGACTCTGGTGCACAGCTTCAGGTTCATGTCAGGCCACCTTCGGGACCGTCTCCTGCCCTAACTAGGGCAAACCCCCCAGGAAGCACAGGCAGGTGTGAGGACAGCGCTGCAGGCAACGGGTCTCCCCAGCCAGCGGCTGCCGAGGAAATGATCTGCCCGTCTTCTCTGTCCAGACCTAGAGATACTTAGAGACACAGTTTGCAAGGCCCGCTTACTCCTGAACCTTGGTTGAATACCTTCTGGGTAATGCAGCTTAGAAAATAATGTTATGTTCCCTTTCTGTTGATGAAAAAGATGTTTAATGTGTTCCTTCTCATCTATCAGCTTGTTACCCAGGTCTTTAAGCACCTAGACACCTCCACCAAAGATCAGTTTATGAACAGTTCACTGCTTTCCGCAACAGGCCCATTAAAGTGCATGACTGAATCGATGAGAATATCCTGGGCTTTGACTGCTTGCAGACCTCCGTGTTCTGAAGAGGCCTAGAACCTTCTCTTCCTCTCAGGAAGAGATGCAGTCCCTGGGCCACCGAAGCACCCTCCAGGGCTGGCCCCTGTGGCCTGGGTGGGTGTGTCTGGTGCATGCTCCTCTTCCCCGGACCAGTCTCCCTCCTTGTCTTTTTTGGAGAGTTTTTTTGTTTGTTTTGTTTTGTTCTGTTTTGTTTTGTTTTTCTGCTCTAGGACATGTGTGCTCACCAGAGAGACAGAGAGACAGAAAGTGAGAAATCCACTCCCAGGGAGGATGGCCACACCACAATCCCTTCCCCTCCATTCTCCTCTTGGAATTTTGGACATGTACACACATGAGCCCAGCGTGTTTCAAACTGCCGGGTCCAGGACTCAAACCACAGTTGACCATGTGGGAGTCCAGCGATGTAACCATGACGCCATATGCTGGACCCATAAATTTTTTCTTTTTCCATTGTACGTGATATAGTAGGGAAATCTTGGAGCTCTTTCCAGGAGTTTCAGCTGCTGCCAGTTGGAATGTAGGCCCTGATTTTGAGCTGACAGTGTGTGACCCTGATGTATACCTTCCTTCCATCTGCTTGGGTAGCATTGCTAAAATACACATCTTCTCTGCCAGCTCTGTCTAAAAGGCAATGGTCTCAGAGACTTTTGCTCAGGTTCCAGCTTGTCCCAACCCAGGGGACAGTCGAACAGGTTTCCTGAGGGAAGGAGTGAGAGACGGGACGAACGACTCAGTGTTACAACTCTTCAGGGTCGTCTGTTTATTGTGGGCAGTACAGAGATGACACAGTGTTACAACTCTTCGGGGTCATTCAGAGACGACACAGTGTCACAGCTCTTCATGGTCTTCAGGGTCATCTGGTGATTGTGGGCCAGGGATCATGGTTATATACATGCTGGTGGGCAGTGATTGGTTGAATGAAGGATTGTAAAAGGTGGGTTATGATTGGTTGTTTTTGTGGACCAATCATGAGGTGCCGGATATGCAAATCTGAGGGATTCTAAGCTCACCGATTAGCTATGGGAAGTGGCCAATCAGAGTATGGTTTTGAAGATGAGGTTTTGAAGGGGAGCCAATCGTGGCCTTTATGGGAAGTGGCCAATCAGAGTATGGTTTTGAGGGTGAGGTTTTGAAGGGGAGCCAATCATGGCCTTTGTCATTGTGTAATTGTTTGCTCTCTGAGAAACCGGAGATATTCGCTGGTGCACAGCCTCCCACACCAGCTCTTTCTTGGGAGTACCACAGACCTTCTCAGGGCCAAAAGCTGTCTGTCTTGCACACCGTAGAATGTGTAATCCCAGATATGGAAATCCAGCTGAAAAATTCACATAGGACAGAGATAGAAAAAGCAAAAACTATCCACAGACCAACAATTTTATTAAGTCCAGTGTTAGATTGGAAACGTGGGCATGGCCCCCTGGGCAGAAAGGGACTCCCCTGCAGCGATAATTCAACAATGGTCAGGTGGGGAGACCCTCTGTCCCACTTCCTGGTGACCAGACTGGAAGTACTATCAGGAGGAAATGCAAGTCTTTACAGAGACAGTTCACACGTCGGGGGCCTTTGGTCACGGTCATGTATAATACTGTGACAGCTTGGGTGACAGCTGGCCATCTCCTCCTCATTCTTCTGCTCATTCTTTCCAGCTGAATGGGCTGCTCTGGGTTGGTGGGGTTGTGGGTTCTTGGGGAAGATTGCATAGTCCCTAGCTCCTGTCTTAAAAGTACTGGAAATGGGGCCAGTAGGTGGCAGAGTGAGTGGTTAAAGGCACTGGACTCCCACATGGCTGACCAGTTTGAGTCCCGGACCTGGTGAATTGTTTCTCATTTCTCTCTATCCCTCTCCCTCTCTCTGGTCAAATTAAAATAAATAAAGGTAAATAAAATGACTTTAAAAAAAAAAAAGAAGAAGAAGAAGAAACGTCCCAGAAATGATGTCATTGATGCTGGCTAAAAATGACACTTCTGCAGTGTCAACAGCTTGGTCTTTTTCTGTTCACTTGACCTTCTCTCGTCTCCCCTGACCTGAACTCAGAGACTTGCTGTTAAGAGGCAGAGTTCCACCCACTTTGGTGGGCAGGTGGCAGAGCCCACAAGCATGTTCATCCCCTCTCTGTGGTCACCATTGCCGTCTGCTGCCCCTCGTCCCCTTTGCTTCCTTGCTTAGCTTTCTGGAGTCTCTCCACAGAGCATGGCCACTCTGGGCCTTCAGGTGTTTCTGGGAGGAGCAGTAGTACAAAGCACGGATGTGAAAAGTTTGAAAACTGCAGACGATACAACTCTGAGTCAGTTTTGCTTCATGTACAATACTTTCTTTTTTATGTATTTCACTTTTTTAGGAATCTGAAGCTTTATTCCTCAAGGCAATTAAAGCAAATCCAAATGCCGCAAGTTACCATGGTAACTTAGGTAAGGAATATTTTCTGTTCAAATCATTAAAATTTTATGCACTCTTTCTTTTTTAAGAGAGTTTTTGCTATAGGGCACGTGTGCTTACTGGAGAGACAGAGAGGCAGAGAGAAAGTGAGACACTACATGGCCATGCCATAATACCTTTTCCACCATTCTCCTCTTGGGATTTTGGGCACGCATGCACATGCACCTGGTGTGAATTTTAAGCCACCAGGTCCAGGATTCAAACCACAGTTGACTACGTGGGAGTCCAGCAATGTAACCATTATGCCACCTGCTGATGTTTGAAATGTTATTCACTTTTAACAAAATGGGAACATGTCCATAAAATCAGTGCTGAGAGTGGTTTTTTTATTATTATTTTTTCAAAGTTAACCTGTATTGTCTTTTATTTTACTTATTTTTTTAAAAGAGAAATGTTTACTATAGGGCACGTGTCCTCACCAGAGAGACAGACAGAAAGTGAGAAATCACACCCCATCCCACACCCCCCCACCCCCCAACAGAGGATGGCCACACCGCAATCCCTTCACCTCCATTCTCCTCTCAGGATCTTGGGCAAGCATGCCCAGCCTCTGTTTTGAGCCTCCAGATCTGGGACTCGAATTTAAGTTTTGAGCCTCCAGATCTGGGACTCGAATTGCAGTCAACTACGTGGGAGGTCAATGACATAGCCATTGGCTATGTCTGCTTGACCTTGTATTGTCTTTCATGACCTGGTTTTTTTTTTTTTTTTTTTTGAGAGAGAGGTTTTCGCTATAGGGCGCGTGCGCTCGCCAGACAGACAGAGAGAGACATAGAGACAGAAAGCGAGAAATCACCCCCCAGGGGGGATGGTCACGCCGCAATCCCTTCTCCTCCATTCTCCTCTCGGGATCTTGGGCACGCACGCACACACGCCCGGCGTGAGTTTTAAGCCACCGGGTCCGGGACACGAACTGCGGTCGACTACGTGGGAATCCAGCAACATAGCCATTACGCTAACTGCTGGTTCCACATGACCTGGTTTTAAAATGTGGTTTTTATCACATTAAAAAGGTACATGATAGTCATGGTTACAAACTGATTGTGTGGACAGAACGCCCTCCCTGTGCCTACTCAGAGGAGCACCTTCTTATGACTCCAACTTGGATTCCCCTTCTCTGTGTGAAGGGTTCTAAGACACCAAGAAGGACTTTGATGTTGACCAGCTAACCTGCCTCTTTTCCTCTATTTTGAATTCTTAGAGCTTGGTCTTTTCACCTTCTTTGGCTCCCTATGCCTCGGCTAAAGATGCATCTACAATGATTTACTCCCTAGAATTCCTTCCTTCCATGTTAACCTGTCCGTAGGAAGGCATTTCAGAGCGTAGTACGTTGACGTTTAGAACACTGCCATACAAAGGCATCTCACTGTCTCTAACCCGGCCGGCTTCTCATTGCGAAAGTTACAGAGCATCCACAGCTGCTCTCCCGCCTGTGTAGAAAGTTAGTTTTACCTTCAGAAACATTGTCACATTCAGAGGCTCACATTCGAACAAGTAGGTTTATTGTAACCATCATTTTATGGTCCAATGTGATGCCAGCCCCTTATGTCCAGCTGGCAACAAATAGGCTATTACTTTGCCAAAATTAATAAGGAAACCTTTATGTGAAATAAACGGCTGGACTTCTACATCGTAAGGGGCCTAACTGTGTCCAAGGCCTGCCCCATCTGGCCTGGCTTCCCAGAAGTTTCATAGCAGCGCCGAGCCCTTTCGTGGGCTCTTCTTTTTGTAATAATGTTGCTGTAGGCAGATGAGCTGCATCTAGTGATCCAAAGAGCCCCAGGAATAACTGGCCGTGGTAAAACAATCACCAAGGGGTATGATTACAGTAAATAAAGCTTGTGGTACAAACAATATTTTTTTTAAACAATGATTTTTTAAAACTGCGAAAGTTCTGTACCATTTCTTTGTACAAGTGGTTGGGAATACTGCAAGTTATTCAGAAGCATGTCCAATGAAATTCATCTCTTGCTGTTTCAGCTGTGCTTTATCATCGCTGGGGGCATCTAGACTTGGCCAAGAAACACTATGAGATCTCCTTGCAGCTTGACCCCGCGGCATCAGGAACTAGGGAGAATTACGGCCTTCTGAGAAGAAAGCTGGAACAAAGGCAGAAGAAAGACGTCTGACCCTTTTTCCTTCGTCTTTTGAGTTTGTGCGAGTGTGTGCATGAGGCCTCTCATTACTATTATGTGGTTATGTTTAACCATTGCGAAGTCTTAGACATGTTTGTTTTACTTTTTCTATGAAAACTAAGACATGCAAAAAGATTAGAGCACCAGCAATACCTTCTTGAATGCATGATAATGGTTTTTGCATCGAAATTGTATTTTTTCAGACAACTCAAATGTGATTCTAAAATTCCAAAACTGAAGTCTTTTTTTAAATTAAACAGAAAAAGAGAAAAAATTATCTTGAGCAACTTTCAGTAGAATTACATGTGCATTTGGGATGTGGGTCTTATTGGGTATACACTGGCTCTCTTAAACCTCGCTTGTAACCAAGAAATGATGGGCTGACTCTTACAATTTGTATAAATATCAAATGTATCTGTATATTAGAATTTTTATTTAATGATGGGAGAGAGTAAATTAAAATATTTGGTTTTATAATCTCTTCTTTTTTTACAGCAATATACTATGAACTTCATTTGTAAGGAAATATTTATTTGTATTTTTATGTGTTGGACAGGGCAAATAATTGAGTGCAGAATGAAAATGTTAACATCTCGTATATCTATATGCTTTTTCTCCTATAGGACAAAATTGACTCCTTCGGCATTTTGGGGGGCACTCTCACTCACACAGTTCCAGTATGTCGGAAATTATGTAATATTCTGAACTGAGCGATCGGCAGAAAATCCCAGCTCTGTTTTAGGCAAGAGCAGGCAGTCTAGGGCTACATATGTATGTAAATTGCTTTTTTGTTATTTTTAACTGTTAGGACATCTTTCATTTTAATAGGGTTATAGACATTACTCCGTCCAGAATATGCAAGAGATACAATTGCTCTCGAAAGGAGAGCCACATCTGTGGAGTTTGTGTATTGTTAAGAATTGGGTCATTTTTCCAATTTTATTTGATTGAAATAATCATATTTACTTTGTTCTGTCTCTATACATTGTCGACTTAACGATTTAAGCAATCTTTGTCATTTCTTTTGCAGTAAAATTACTACACAAACTGGCATGAAAATGTCATATTGCCTTTTTTAAAAAAATTTAAGTTTTATTTTTTATTATGTAATTTGACTGGAAAGAGAGTGAGCGAGGGAAAGTGAGAAAGCAAGCTTCCACGTCCAGGACTTGAACTGTGGTCAACCATGTGGGAGTCCAGCACCTCATGCAACATACCACTTGCTGGCCTGTCATATTGCCTTCTTCATAGATGGTTTTTGAGTGAATGAACATTGTGTCCTTCTCTCTCTTCAAATGAAATCAAAGTGACCAAATCATCTTTTCTAGTATGTGGCTTCTATTTTATTTGGGGGAACATTTAATAGAATTATACTGTAAAGTTATTCCAGTTCAGAGAATTGGATAAAAAGGGCTTCAGTGAGGTGAACTTGATTCTCTACACTCACTTTTTTGGGGTTAGATCTGTGTAGAGTTGAAAGTTAGTCATCGTAACTTCTGGTGGTAGAGATACATCAGGAAAGAAACTTCTGTGTTTCAAACATTTCTTAAATGGCCCCAAAATAACAGGAACAATTTACGGATCTCGTAGGGGCGAGCGCTGTCTTGTTTATGTTCCTGTAGTGCTCAGCTCGGCAGACAAGAGATGCACTTTTGGTTCTTTTGGATTTTTTTAAAAGCAGATTTCTTTTTTTGAAAATGGTACTTGTCCTTTGAGAGTAAAGGGAAAAAAATGATACTTCTTGCCAAAGCCCCCCTCTTTTTTTTTCTACGGGTACTAAAACTTTAGTATCAAATCAAGATGTGCAAATCTGGATGCCGGCCAACAGCATGAATTCCTTAGCTTTCAGCGCCTCATCTGTTAGGATTTCCCCTGCAGCTATGTTCCTTCCAGTGAAAACAGTCATTAATGTGATTGATACTTCAGGAAGTCTTTTATCTCTGCGGAGACAGGAAGTGTACCATGGTGACGCCCTTCTCTTGTCGCCCATCTTGAAGCTTCCACCCCTTTACTCGTTGGATTTCCTTCAGAACACGACTGAAGTGGAAGGCTGTCTCCCAGACCCCTCATTTGGTGTCTTATTTTATTTTATTTTTATTTCAATTTCTTTTTTACATTCAATCATATATGTCACTTAGCTTGTAAAGTGAATATTCCAACGTGAATACATTTCTCACCAGGCCAGTGGGAACACCATCCACATCCTCCGCAGCAGATTATCACCCATTTCCGTGTCCCATGATGCCTTGCCTCTCTATTTTCCTCCTCAATGTCTTTCCTCAGACTCTCCTTCTCCACCCTCTTCCTGCACTGTATCTGCTATCTGTAGCCACATTCTGTTTCTGCGTCCTCTAGTCATTCTGTTTGGGCCAGAGTGTGGGTAGCCTGTGTCCTCTTTGACTTTGATGGTTTTTTTTTTTTGCTGATGACAATCGCGGGGCCTGATCAAGACAATCATGGGGAGGTCACAAGCTTGAGAAACCTAGCATGATCTTTCACCTCCTTTTTATTATTAATAGTACCATGTTATGCCAGAGGGTACATGTGTGTCTGAGAGGGGGAGAAAGGGAAAGAAACAGTGGACCTGTTCATCCTGTAATCTTTTTCCCTCCGATTCTCGGTCCCACCAACCTCCTGGGCAGGTGAGCACATGTGCTTTAAGTGGCTGGTGCTCAAACCCTGGTTAGCCACAGGGGGCGGGGGTGCAGCTTCCTTTTGATAACACCTGTATGGGTCCGCCCCCATCACCTCTGTGGAGGCCATCACCGAATCTGGAGAGGGCCTTGCGCTTGCGCGTTTGCTTGTTGACCATGCGCTGCGGCCTAGCGTCTCCCCTGGTCCTTGCATCCGAGGATTTGCTTCCTGGAGATGCAGGCTTACATCATTTCTTTCAGATTTCGTCTTGCCAAAGGCTTCCATTCCCCGACAGGACTCCTTGGGGTTCTGATCCTATCCCATTTCCTAAGCATGTTCCTCACATTTTATTTCAAATCAAGGACTTAAAATATGATATGAAAACTGAAGACTCAGCCCAGCTTCTGTGGCACAAGCAGTAGTGTGCCGGACTGCCATGCAGAGGCCCTGTGGCTGACCACGGGTTCGGATTCTCAGCCTGGTCAAACGGAAGCACCCTGGGCACACACAGGTGCTCAAGTGTCAGGGGCTGGAGTTCAGGGGAAGGGCAGACCCTGTTGGGGGACGCTTCCTCCCCCTTTATCTTTTGCACATGTTACTGTGAATTTAAAAATAAATAAATTAAATTTAAAAAGACAAACCTGGGCCAAAACGTTGGCCATCTCTGTCCATAATCGCACCCAGCCAACTTGGACTTTGGGGTGTGGAAACCCAGATCTAGGCCCTGGCTTTCTCACCGTGACATCATAGGCTGCTCGTTTTGCATTGCTGGTGCTATTCGCTCATCTCAAAGCGGGGCTAAGAGCTGTCGCTCCAGTGAGGCAGAAAACTTGGCCCAGAGACCTTCCTGGATGACAGGTTGGGTTTTGGAAAGTGGGTCTGTGTTCAGAGCGGACAGGTCTCGCCTTCCACACGCACCCCCTCATTCAGCCAACATTAATTGCCTGCCATGGGCCAGGCTCTCTCTTGGGCCCTGGGAATACAAAGGGGTTGCGGTGGACATGGTCCTGTGCACTCAGCAGTGGAAAGTCCAGAAACAAAAATAATCAATAATCACATGGTTAATAAATGAAGAGGGTGACAATGTAACCTGAAGAGTCTGGAAAAGGTTTCCTAACCAGGTGACTATGAGCTGTGATTTCAGGGGCATTTAGCAAGGCCTGGAGGTATTTGGGGGTTGTTACAACTGGTGGGGTGAGAGTGGGAGGGGAAGGCGCTTCACATCCTACAATGCACTGAGTGACCCCTCACAAAAAGGAACTTTCCATCCCAAAACATCAGAGGTGAGGCTGAGGGAACGTGGATTATGCAGAAGAAACAGCGCTTGCAAAGCCCTGCAGTGAGAAAGGAGATATTTTAGAGGTTTCCTGATCAGGTCTGATAAGGGAAAAGCTACCTCAGACTGAGAAGTAAATTCCGTGCTGCCATACATCAGACTGCGCCCAGGCTCAGAGGGCTGCTGGTGAACAGGGAAGGCGCTGCTCCCAGCTTGCCTCCTGCGTGTTAAAACACGGTTTCCTTTTGCTTTCACCAAAATTCCACCCCTCCCTGGAATCTCCCAACCTTTGTTTGCTGAGGCATTCCAGGTTCCTCGGGTCTCAGTCTCCCCTCATTGCAATCTGACTGCAACTATGGTTTTTGTGCCTGGTGGTCTTTGATTAGGCTAAGACAGGCCACAAGTCGATTAAAACACCTTGGCCAAGCCTCTTCCTCTGCCCCACCTGCAAAGTGGTTTCTCCCTGGCCTTTCCTAGGTAATGCAGCAGTAAGGATCAAGCCAATCACCTGCATGAAAGGTCTTCACGGACAGAGCTAAGCGCCTGGGCTTACTTATTGGAACCAGTACTTTAAACAGGAGATTCAGATATAAAAGAAATAGTGCTGAGAATACACGTTTGGTGCTTATTATCCAACTTCCCTTTTTTTTTTCCCTTTGTTTTCTTTTATTTTTTAAGGTTTCTGTGCCATAGGGCATGTGTGCTCACTGGAAAGAGACAAGACAGGGTCAGTGAGAGGGACAGTGAGAAATCCCCACCTCCCTCCACAGGGTGGATAGCCACACACAATCCTCTCTCCTCTATTCTCCTCCTGGGACTTTGGGCACACACACGTCATTTTCAAGCCACCAGGTCCAGGACTTGAACTCTAGTCGGCCATGTGGGAGTCCCACACCTTAATCACCATGCCACCTGCTGGCCCTCCAACTTCCCTCTTTTAACCATCATGTTAAAGAATGTCAGTTTTCCATTGAGCTGCATGTGAGTTCAAACTTTACACTCTTGTATACTGGCAGTGTGCTTTTGAGTTATTCAGTCCCTTTGAGACATTTCACATACAGAATGGGAATACCAATATCTGGGTCATACCATTGTTCAAAGGATAAGATGAAAAGAGCCATATTGTTCCTGGTACATGAGACGCAACCGGAATTCATTCCCTACATCAACAGCTCAAGGGTTTCTATCTACATTCCATCTTGTTATGTCTACGTTTCTAGGCAGTAGTGAGCATTATTTTCTTTAAGGAGTTACTGTTTGGATAGTGTGGTCCAATATCTGGTAAAGAGA